ACTATACGTGAAAGTAAAGGAGGAAGCAACGTTTCAAATACATTCATTGATATTTATAAATTAAATCTGTAATAATAAGAAATTAATGAAAAATATATCGCGCATCGGTAGCATCACTTCGCACATGACGCATTAATTGTTAATAAATAATTAATTAGAACAAATCTGTCGTTAAAATCTATATGTGAAAGTTGTTTAAGATCTTAGCTTTAAAACGAGAGCTTAAAAGTGTAGAGATTTTTGCTAGAAAATGAATAATTAATTAATTTTCAATGTAATGTTTACGAAATAATAAGCGATGCGGTCACGTGACAATGATCACGTGACGTGTAGCCAAAGTTACTATCTATCCTTCTCGCACAATGTTGCTTTCCTTGTCTCTGACTTCGCATACCTCCTTGTACATCCTGCTATGCTAGTAACAAGTGGAAGCTTCCAGGATCCAAACGCGAGATGGCGCTGATCTAAATTCAATATCAATTACCTAACTTATCGACAAAATATTCTTTGTCAATAGTTTACCTATAATTTTATAGGAGAAAAGAAAGAATTGCAACAGCAATTTTACGATACACAGAAATACTTGTTTGAGAAATGTCGTAAAAGAAACCTGTGTACACTTACGTTTCAAGTTTCAATTATGATCTCAAAATTTACGATCATCCAATATTAATACATTTTTTATTTATATTGCGATGATTACCATGTTATGAGCAATTAAAAAATAATGCGTTTACTCTGCGCGTTTATCGATGAATAAAATTTCATAGGCATGTCTGGGTCACTGTGCTCGACAAATAACCGATGGATTTTACGCGTGATGCACCCGTTGGAAGGAAAAGGGCCTTTTCCCTGTACGTAGCCGCGTGTTCGGCAAGATATACGAGGCACGCGTTCCCTGCAACCATTTCCATGTATTGTGAACACCCTGCTCGTGTTTGCCTCCATTTTTCTTTCCACCCTCTATCGCGTTCTCAGGGTTGGACGAATCATTCGAACGAAAATATTAGCCCGACGTTTAATCCATTCGCGGATTTGCACGGGCGGCCCCTCCCACCACCTTTTTCATCTGCTCGTGCTATTTATAAAAACGTGGCGGTGATATTTATGCGTTTTAAGGACTCGGTAGAAGGCGGTGTTTGGAAGAAACGGAATCTAGGTTAACGCGTTTCGTGATTTATGCTTTGTCCGCCCGTACCATCGGTCAGTGTTCACATTTCCAAAGCTTGTCTCTCGGATTTGTAGCTGACATTGTGCCGATCGACGCTCGAGAAAAATCGTTCTCAAAGGTTACATTGTTCGATTCGATGTGGAGGGGAGAAGAGCGGAGAAACCAAGATCGGAGTGTGTTAATTTTAGACGATCAGGAGAACATCGTGCGAGAACACGAATTTCCTTCTCGCTTACCCTACCGCGTAATAATTTACACGAAAGAGCACGAAAGAGGTCTGTGGAAACTAGAGCTGGAATCGAAAGGTGATGATCTCGCAGAAACTTCCACGCTCGATTGTACGCGTTCATTTTGGAATACCGCGGCGAATAACCGCTACGTGACGATTCCCTCGAAGTTGGTAAAAAATTCGCCGTTCGCAAGCCGCGCGATATTCCCGGGATACTCTGTACCATGCGGGGAATACCGAAGTGATCGGTGCACGAGCGTCGAATTCTTGGTAGCCGGGGGAATATCGAGAAACGACGAGGCTCTCTACGCTTTTGCTGCCCGGTTTTCAGCCTCTGCGAGTACTTCGAGGCGCTCGTAAATTGGCGAGAGAAAGAGGAGAGAAAAGAGACGAGGCGGAGGAGGAGAAGTGGGGAAGGAGGAGAAGACGACGAATAAGAAGAGGCTCGTTCGTTCGGTCAGCGAGAGAGGATGGAAGGAAGGGTCGGGAGGAAAGAGACAGAGATAGAGAGGGAGAGAGAGTAGGAGGGACGGGGAAGAGGGATGGGGCAGAGGTTGGGCTACGACCATCGATTTCTCGACCGGTGTTACGTTCCTTCGACCGGGAAAAACTTGCTATTCCACGATCCTCGATGAGGAAATTCTTGCTTCGAATACTTCTTATTAAGATACATTCGTCACGATGATGTTGTATCTCTGTTAGTGTTTGAGAAGGAAGTCGACTTGATTTCTAATTTGTAGGAAGTGTATACGCGATGATGCTCGCATTTTACCTCCACGCGTAAACGTATCGATTCGTTCGCGATTGATTCCAATTAAACGTCTTCTAACGAAAGAATGTAGCAAGAAATGTAATACGATAATATATATATGTATAAGTATCAATTTGATTCCCGATTCGAATAATATATTACATCCTTTTGAGTTTTAAAATTATCGTTCGTTTTTATTTTGATACACGCAAAAAAATTGTACTATTTATAATATTTAGATCTCGAAAAATTGGATAGATAGGTACGTAATATATTACAGAGGACAAAGCACGTAGGGCGAAACTGTTTTGCGTGGCGTTGGGAATTGGGTTAATCAATCGAACGAATGTTCCGTAACCGGAACGATTCAAGTGCTCTGTCTTAGTTTGTCGATGTCGGGGGTTCATCGATCGCCGATGACACGGTTGCACGTCGATTTTGGACTCGTCAAGGGGAGAGAGAGAGAGAGAGAGAGAGAGTGGAGGAAGAGGAGGAGAAGGAGGAGGAGAAAGCGCTCCATCGATCCCCGGAACGCAGAAAGCGCGCTGGTCCAAGACAATTTCCGGCGATCGAGGGCTTCCACGCGGCTTCGTCCTTCGATTAGGAATAAAAGGCTTCCCAGCATCGCGCACACCGGTGATGTTTTTTTTAAAATCGAGGCAAAAAATTCACTCGAATTTTTCTCTATCCCTCTTAATTTCGAATTTAATATCACTTCTCTTTCTTTCTCTTTCTTTTTCTCCTCTCTTCGATTCCGTCTTTTTCTTTTCAATCGATGGAAATTTTTTTTATCGTCGAAAAAAAAAATATGAACGAATATATACTTACGCGCGAAAATATCGATTTAAAGCAATTACTCGGATAGAAAGTTGCGCGTTGGATAATAATATTGGGTAATATGTGTTAAATAATATACAAACAAAATTATTGAAATTTATTCAATCTTTTATATTCAATTATTCAAATAGCTATTAACTTCTGTACGAGGTAAATGATCAACAATGTGATTAACACGTTGCTAAATATATTTAGTAGCCGATTATTATTATCTTACGTTCAATATTTTTTTTTTAATTCCTTATTAATTTTAAAATTTCATTGCCACGTTAAATATTTAATTTCGATAAATATTTAAAAACTCTACGCATATTTAAATATAAATATAAACGTAGGTATTATTTTTCGTCAAGTTTCAAGATAAACATTTCGCCCGATATTTCCCGATAAATTGTCGGCAAATATGTATATCTCTGTATAACATTAGCCGTCTCGTCGCAGCCGATTCGTATTTGAACGGATTAGAAAATTGATTTGCATAACAAATTGCCATCCGAACCACTAACCGTTGTTACTCGTACAGTTACATTAGTTACAGTTACACCTCCTCCTCCTCCTCGCGATAATACGATACGAATACGAATCATCGAGGTGTCTGTCTCGTCTCGTCGAAAACATTCTTCGATGAATATTACGCGAAGCGATTGCCGCGTGTCATTTAAATTTGTGTCGAGAAATAATTGAAAAAAAAAAGAAAGAAAGAAATTGATGAAAAAAATACTCCCGAATTATCTTGAATTCGGCGATTACGTCATCCATCCAACGTGGTTGAGATCGTGGAGAAGCGAGAGTGCGAGCAATGTTGTACACGTTTACTCTCGGGGCGCGATACACGTCAACTATACGTAAGGCAACAGTGTATGATAATAACGGTGCCAGTGGCTGGTGCGGTGTCTAGCCTAGCACCAGCCTAACCTGACTCAACGTTGTAACCATGTATATTTATACAACAGCTGGGCGGCGAGGGAGGGGAGTGTGCCAGTCAGCTGATTGAAGCGCTGGAGGGGAAACGGTGGAGGGGAGAACGACCTTTATTTAAAGCGCTCGAGAGGAAGCCTTTCTTCGACTGGTAAACAGTCATCGAATGAACATGCGAGACACACGTATACATACGTGGCCGCGTATGCGCGTGACTGAAATAATATCGTTGGATTTTTACCTTCCCTCCCCCTCCACCTTTCTTCCATCTCTAGCTGGGAAGGGAGAGCAGTGGAGGAGAGGAGGAAAGGGGAAGAATAAAGCGGCGAAAGAAAGAGATGCAGGAGCGTTTCGCGAGTTTCGAGGCACCGCGTCGGTGTATATTAACATAATTAACTGGAAACCAGACGTTACGCAGACATTGCGCTTTTCTTTTCTCCAACCATTATTTTTATTCCCTTTATTAACTCGCGCGTGTTGTTTCGAATAATTAATTTTTTTTTTTTGAAAAGAGATATTATTTAACGACGTATTATTATTTTTTCTCTTTCTTTTATACGTTTGCTTCTTTTTTTTTAAACGCCGTTCGCCCCGTTAATTTTTCAGTCCAGGTTGTTGTTCGATCGTTGCTTCGCCATCCAGAAAGTTCAAGGCTTCCGCAAGAAGATTTTTCGTAATGATCGTACGGTGCTTTGGAAACAATGAAAGGAAAACAAATAGTACTATTGTTCCCCTATGGCTACGTGCCCCGTTATTATCGACTCTTCCATTCATCGATCATTCCATACTCATACACCGTTAAATAATTATTCACGTATGATATTTTAAACGAGCGAATAAATTAATTAATTCAAAATTTACGACGGGATGATGGTAATCTCTTACGATTTAAAAAAAATTCCAATTATCATTATACATGTATATATACACACACACACATATATATATATATATATTTTCTCTTGGTTTTCCTCGTATTTCTGCCAGTCATTCCCTACTACTACACATTCTTTCAACTCGATCCGATGGAGAGGAGAAAGGACAAGGAAGGCGAATTTTAACGGTTTTAACGAAACGCTGATGCTCGTTTTCAGGGGACTGGCATGGAGAAGGAGAACTCCGCATCGGGCGGAGGTGGCGGGGGCGGTGGAGGTGGCGGAGGCGAAGCGGCGGCCACGGCGACTCCAGGCGCCACCTCCGCCTCCGAGAAACTCCAGGCGGACCAGGCCAATCCGTTGCTCGATCCAACTGCGCTCTTCGGCGGTAAGCCAATTTTTCTTTCCCCCATTTTTTTTCCCTCCCCTCTCTCCTCCCACCTCTCGCGTTCCGTTTCTCTTTCTCCTTATTATATCAAGCGTGGAAACACATAATTCTTTGATCTCGAGAGATATATATATTTTTTTTAAGACCGGAGGATCATCCCGTTCCTTAACCGAGTTGATTCCTTAATCAACTTTGATGACACGTGACTCGACGTATGTTTTCTTTTTTTTAAAGCATTCTTCTTATCATCTTAAATACTTTAAACGCTTAATTATAATACCTGGAGTTTATATTATATGCGATTATCGGTTCTTAGTTTGGTCTCAAATCAAAGCGAATTAACGGAATATAACGTAATTTACGTATCCCCGTATAAAAGATGGAAAATAATAAATTCGTGGATAATTAAAATTACTAGCCGTGCTCAATTAACTCGTTTTTTCCCCCAATTATCACAGTTAAGGATCTGAAAGTCGGGTCGTTATTATTCATTTTCATTATTATGGACACGTTCTTTTGTTGGATGAAACGCGGGATGAGAGACACGAGGAGGAGGTCTTTAAAAGTCTTTCCTCGACTCAACGATCCTGCAAGACTGCTGACGGCAAGTGCGCGAATAAGACGAAGGGGATGGAATCGCCGCGATTAATAACACCGCGATCGATATGTTCAAAGGCGGTGGATATCGAACGAGATTATCGACGTAATCCCTTTTGCCCGTAGCTTCGAGCTTCATTAATCAAGCTGTTTGCATCGACGCGAAATAACACGGGGAGGATGCATAATAATAAATTATCTTTCTGGTGTCGATTCACCGTTGTTCATAAATATAATAAATACGATATGTATATATATTTGATTTTCATAACAATCCGTATTAATTACGAAATCGAAGATATCGATGAAACTTTTACTTTGAATATAAATTTATGAATGACTCTTCGTTTTAATTTCAGTTCTCTGACCTGTATTATATTAAGAGTCTACGAAAGCGTATGTGTGTTACAAGTTCAAGGTCGAGGTCTCGAGTATCATTTTAAACAGCGACTCCCGTTATTTTTTTTTTTTTTAAAGATCATCGAACCATCATAAAACACAGGATATGATCAATCAATTGAAAATTTTCCTTTTCCATAATCATGCAAAAATCATATTTTTGGTCAATGTGTTGAATTGAATTATGGAGTAAGAGTTCGTTTATTCGTGTCATATGTCGCTGATTTTTTTTCAGGATCAAGTCTCGGAAGATATTTCGTGGATTGAAAATAGCAGGGATTCCTGATATCGATACTTTCTATATTGCCCGATTCGACTCGATTTCTTCTCGACTTGAAAATCAGGATTCCAACATTTTCAGAATCTCAACTTTTCAGAATACATTCTTATTTTTTTTTTNTTTTTTTTTTTTATTATTAAGAATTATATTGTCATGAACATCTTCGAAGGGGAGATCGAAGTAATAGAAATGATTAAAACCACGATGGTTTTACTTCTCACGTTATTCGAGGTTATTGGTACATATTTGAACACATTTAGTATACCATACATTCTTAATAAAAACAAGTTTGAGAGTAAAATCTTCGAGAATTACTCTTGAGAGTGTTTTTCGAAGATAGACATTGGTTTGATTGTTCAAGGGTAATTTTCATTCTCAAAAATAATTCTCGAGAGCAATTGTTCGAATTGAATTAATCCAAATCGTTCATCTTAATCTAGTTTCAATATTTATTTTCACACGCGATACTCCCGTTTCGTTTCACATCGATATAATAAAATATCAATGTTTCTCACTCTAACTCGAAATATCCAAACACGCTCGCACAACCGATAAAATCTCAAACTATTTTGGCCAAGCAAGCGATATACACTGCTTCGTTGCACGTTGCACCGTAACAGTAATAAAAGCGGACGTATTACGATGTATCCACGAGTTTCCTCCACCTTGGTCGAGCGAAACGCACAACTACGGCGGCGTACTACGGTAGAATTTCCACAGATGTTGTATATTCCTCCAAGTTTTAGACCTTGAACAAGCATCAAGACCATTCAACTCTTCTACTCTCTTTCCCTTCAGGTTTTAGTATCGTGCATACCACATTGAGCGAACGGATATTCCTCCGGCTGGCTTGTTCTTTCACCCGGCCTCTCTCTCTCGTTTCCGTTCATGCTTGCCCAAGACCTCTTCTAACGCTATTTTCTCTCTCTCTCTCTCTCTCT